ATTTTTACAAGTTTATATTTATTGATTCACAACAGTGTTATTCATTTAATTACCTTCCCTCTAATCACCCCACAAGTTATAAATTTGAAAAGGAAATATTGGCTCAGACCTGTTTATCGACTGTTTTAGTCTGTTATTAACTTCTAATGAGTCATTGCAGTTTAAGGGAAAATTATTTCCCTCACAAGGTATGAGACGTTCGTGCTTCCCTCCTTTCTATGTTTATTTTTCACTGGGTCTACTGACTTTGTATTTCTCTTCTAGGTGTTACTCACCTTGGTGTCTATTCTGCTTATCTTTTATTATGACCTCAAATACCATGGTGAATTGTTTTACTGCTCCCCTTTTTTTTCAAATATACACAAATGACTCACCGTTCGATTAATTCAATAAAATTACTTGTCCTAAACACATAGCCACTGTGCGTCTATACTGCTGATTATATGTACTTGAGATAGAAACGGAGCTACTGAACATAGTAACTTACATGGTTAAAGTATGCCAAATGTTTCAGTTTGTTTTTCATAAGTAATCATTCTCCGAGTGGGTAAGATTTACTAAAATGAATAGTTTCTTTAAGTAATTGATTGAAGTAATTGTAATGAACTTTGTATTGTTTGTACTTGTAATTCAAATGTGTATAATTAAAGAAAGTAAAAACGGTTGAACCATGTCTCAAATGTTTTAATCTCTGACGTGCTCTCAATTCATTGAATAAAGTAATTGACTTCTCGTGTTAAAGGATATTCATCTTGTTAATTTCCTTTTATTCGTCAAATGTGAGCTATGACATTTTGGGTCTATGTACATACTGAGATTAGATCCAAGTTATTAGATAGGAATTGTAAATCGATTGACAAGGTAGTTAATCTTCATTGTCTGAAGTAGATGGGACATGTATTACGTAAACCCAGCCCACTGCCTACCTCTACAGGGTATGTTTGTTGTGACTTTAAGTCCTGCTAGTCATCACGTAATTTATTCGCAAATCGAAATACGACTTATTCAATCTTGTACTGTACTAAACAGTACAAGCCTAGCGTCCTTATTGGTCCTTTGTTCGCTTAGCCCGTCCAACTGAGTCCAGAACACCAATAACAGCTTCCACTATGCGAATCATTTATTTCAGACATATTTGTTTTACATACCAGCCAAATAGACCGCATCGCACCATAAAATAGGAAATAACATTTATATAAGATCAGGCCGAAAAGTGACTGTGAACGTGGAAGACGGTAATCAAATAACTGAGTATAACTTAAGAACAGTAAATCATATGATAATAATCTATCGGTCAGAATGAAGTTTATAATAAAGGGAATATAGATATATATAATTTAGTTACTGAATAGTTGTACAATAGGAATATATATATTATATTGGTCCATTAATAGTTCTCGGAAGTTACTCATAATTTAATCTTCGCTAGGATATAACAATGTAGTCTGGCTTTTGAGTAGGTGGGTAGAAATCAAGAAGTGGACAAGCTAGGATGTGGCATCATTCCATAAAATTATTGCCTGATGAACTGAGTCACGTAGGTTGATGTGGTCTATTTGGTTGGGGTCCTTGCGATTATCGTAACCAGTGGTTGGAGATATTGAATGACATGTCTGAAAACTGATCCTAGTGATACAGATACATTTACTCGCTGTCTCCCTTCATATTTTTTAGTCATGAAATCTCCTTATACTTGTTTTGTGTACTTAATCTCTTTTAACACCACCAATACAGTTACTACTTCTACTACTGTGCAATTCGTCTTGATAATGTTTCAACTTAAACCAATGCACATGTACATTATATATATCTATATCTATATCTATATCTATCTATCTATCTATCTATCTATCTATCTATCTATCTATCTATCTATCTATCTATCTATCTATCTATCTATCTATCTATCTATCTATCTATCTATCTATCTATCTATCTATCTATCTATCTATCTATCTATCTATCTATCTATCTATCTATCTATCTATCTATCTATCTATCTATCTATCTATCTATCTATCTATCTATCTATCTATCTATCTATCTATCTATCTATCTATCTATCTATCTATCTATCTATCTATCTATCTATCTATCTATCTATCTATCTATCTATCTATCTATCTATCTATCTATATATATATATATATATATATATATATATATATATATATATATATATATATATTAATAGAATACTGTCAAGCAAGTCTACCTATTAGAAAACAATCCAAATGAGTAAACACTGGTATTGACTTTCAGTTAAGTTAGTGAACAACCAGTAGTAAACGGGCGTTTTAGTGATTAGTAACTTAGTTAAAGATTATGAAAATCAATGTGTTGTCAAAGTATCATGAACCATTGTTGAAAGTTTATTCCATGTAAATAGATTGTCGAATATCAGCAAATTCTTCTACGGGGTTGATCTTTTAAATTTATTAATTGCTAGTAAGATAGCTTAGAAAATCGTATAGACATAATATTACATTCAGTCATAAAAATATAATAACTACTCTACTGATCAATACGTGATATGTATCCAATCCAAACATCCACCTTAAATACTAAAATAAACACCGAATATATTATGTACTGTATTAACAACACTATCAGTTATCATAAACTATTTGGTTACTGAGTAATGACAAACATCATATTGTTCATCACTTAGCATTAATAGACTTTCCATCCATTAATTTTTAATGCAACTGACAAAACAGGTTAACTTGTTCAATTCAACTGACATATTTTCTTTGAATTGCGATCCTTGTGAAATAGACTCGCATTTTCTTACTGGCCTACTATTCAATTACATTGACCAACTGTTTGCTATTAAATAACCAACCATATAAATCGATTTTATTTTGTTTGTATGCATAAAACTAGTGTCTTTTTTTTACCTTTACTTGGAAATAGAATATAGATCATATAATGTTCATTTACGTGCGTTTGTTGAGTGTGGGCGTCCGTGTGAGCATGTATTTTATCTAAGATTGTTTATATATGTATAATTTTTGGTGGAACTCAACTCATAAAAATCAATTTTTGTTAAAGAAATCATATCTCAACATACATGATACCATGTGACTTATTACCATATCATAGAATTTAAAAATAGATAAGTCAAATACATAAGTTTTGGATATTTCATTATATCATTGAAAATTGTTTTCAATATGTATGGTGTACAAAGTGATGTTGCGTAACTACAGACCCATTTAAAATAAAGGACTACCGATAACAATGAAGAAGCATATAATTCCTTAATGCTGGTTTAACTATCCTCTATAATATTCATCTTTATGCTCACTAGCAGAGTTGAAAATCACGGTTAAGTGGTTTATGAAGTGTAATATTACGTAATGACTACAATTAAACAACTACTGAGAACCAGGTGGCACTAGGCAATGGTTTCTTCCTTGTATGGAACTCTTTAGCGGTGGGAATTAATAACCTTATCACGGCCTCATGGTGAACGCTCAATCTTCAGACTACTGAGTTAGGATCCAACGATTTACATTTCTAACTTCAATCAATTTGCGATATCGCTCGACCATCATCCATTTGCATTGGTGATATTTGTCTCATACCTGAAATGTTTGTATTCCTATGAACACTGCTTCTTGCTAGAACTCGGGAAATCCCCTTTCAAAGTTAGTAAATATAGAGATCGTTCAATTTGAAGTTTCATATTACTAATTAAGATTGGAAACAGTTCAATATTCGGCAAATTAGTACAGGACAGAAACTCAATGTGTTCTGAAATTCAGATAAAATTATTTTTATATCAGTCACTCCCTTATATAATGACTAAACTAAGGTCAAGGTTCGTTTTGTAGTTGATCGTCGTTCGTATAGTTTGATTATTCAACTCACACGTTTAAATTTTACATTGATTACCTTTTATTTAAATAATAAGCTAATGTCTTGTTCTTTCACTCATAATAGCTTCATAGACTAAGTTGATCATTCACAAGTCTACATAAATGTGACTGTGATTCGTTTACTTTCGGGAGGGATTCCATATCATTATCAATTGGTACACTTCAAAGTATCACTGTATATTTGTGAGATTCTTTATATAGATAGACTATTAGCAGAGTGTATTGTTTCAGCTTTTGAAACCGCTCTTGATTATTAGCTTTCTAAATCAATTTAAGGCTATCTTAAAGGCAACACTTTTCCTTGTGTGATTCGTAAATGTTTAAGCCTGTGTTTATTGTAATAAAAAAGGAAGAAATACACTGAAGGTTTATCAAAGAAATTGTGATAGTTAAACTGTTGTCTACTTACCAAATATCTAAATGGGTATGGCATCAGTAAAAACTGCTGACCTATTTCAACGAGTACTTTGCCAAGGTAATTTTTACAAAACACTGTTTACTATAAGTATGATTCTGATATATTGTGATCATATCTACTAGACATAATTAACTCTAATGATAAAACTACTTAAAATAATGGTAGCTAAACATCCGATCAATGCTTTAACAATTCTTCCAAGTCTATTATAGATTTTTATAATAACGTTAAGACCTTTTATCTAGTCTGAATCATGAACGGTAGGTTGATTAACTCTTCTGTATAGAAAGCATCATTGCCTGAATTAATACTTGTTCATTGTATTACACTATGGAAAAAGTCTATACTATAATATTCTATTATTTTATGATCAGCGTCTTTACTACCGTCGTATAAAATTTCTTTCTCTTTTATTGACTGTTTATCTCTACATTGTGTTTTGAAAGGTGTAGCGATTTTAATTAGTTCACTTCCATTCAAAATATTTTATGTCTCTCCTAGAAGTTTCAGTAAATAAAGAAAATTAGATTAACAATTTTATGTATATGTGAAGAGTTTTGCAGTAAAGTAATAATCGTTTAATAGATTTACTGAGTTTTTTCTTTGTATATTTTGTATGAAAGTTATAGGTAAGAGAAATGGATATTTAACAGTGCCTAACTATCCGATGGCGCTTATTCTCTTTTTGTCTTATTTAGAGGGGAAAATGCCAATACAACAATAACTACTACTAATACTACTATTACTGCACCTAATGACCATTTTGAAAAGTCTGAAGCATTAACCGATCCTAGCTTACAAACTGGAATTTACTGGCATCCAGGTCCACCTCAGCCGTTGTCTGAGTTGATGTACGAGTTTCGTTCAGGCAGTCCAGGAACAACTTATTTGATCAAAGCTATTTGCAAACGTTCAGGATGTCATTGCGCCTTAAGAAATTATGACAGTCTCATGTTATATCCAGTACCGGATTCAACACTGGCATCTGCAACTTGGGAATTATGGACAGCTAAAGACAAGAATCCACGTTTTCCTAGCTCTTCTTGTGAAGTTCAATCAAAATTAATTCTTTTTCGACAATGTCGAGGATGGTATGAAGTTTTGAATGAGAATCACCAACCAACTCCTCATATAACAACACTTGAACAAGTAAGGCGCACCAGAGCTTCAACTTTCATTGTTCGACAAGATATGCGTTGTTTAGTAGCACCTCCAAATTTGGTCATACCTTCTTCAGATGAAAGAAGAGAATTAAATGATGATACTTCACCATGTTCAATACCATCAAGTCTGGTTACATTGGCATGTTCACCAGAAACATTGGCTAATTCAAAACCGGATTTTGTTCGTGCTGGAACACTTCTACGTTTTATCGCTTATCTACCTCAATGTTCAGTTAAACGTGGAAAAAAAACCAAGGATTTGGGCCTTGTACTAGCAATTGAACGATCCAGCTGTTCGAAACAATCATCCATTCATTCCGAGCTACTCCCGGTTAGACCTCTTTCACGTACTATTTACCTTGGCATAGAAGATTCTACACCTGCAGTGTTTCCTCCTAAACTCTCCTTAAGCGTTATTGCTGGACCAGAAAATATTTCTGGAGTTCACTTGTTATCTGGTCTACTTCGTAAATTCCGCTTACCCTTGTCAGTTAGACCCATACCTTTACCAGACTCTTATAACTATACAACCAACACTTCATCTATGAGACGTCCATCACTTATGAACAGTAATCCCAAAGTAACTTGTGGTCTAGTTGCTGTTCAACCACTTTCATTCACTGAAAAACATTTTTTAAGATTACACTCTTTATATAAAGGTGATATTTTAATTATTGCTCCAGTGTCTTCACCAGAACGTTTATTTTTGATTACACCATCAATGTTACGTGATCATTCATTTCAAACTGGTTATACGCATGATCCAACTTATGCTCTTTCCATGGAAAATCATCGTATACAAGCATGCAATTTTCTAGCTATTGCTCATGCTCAAGAAACACTCAATTATTTAGTTCGACATATGCAAGATATAACACGCGAGCCTCGTGATTCTTATACATCCCGTCAACAAGCGAAACAACGAAGTGATTTGATGCCAACTCCAGAATCTTATATGACACAAGAAGAAATTTACAAAACATACGATGAAATTGATGATATCTACTTTTATATTCGCCATGGTTATTATCCATCAAAAATACGTAAACCAGATGATCTAAACAATAAAACAGAATCTACATCTAATACTAAACTAAAAGTTCATAAATATTCCACTAATTCATCACATACATCAGATGATATGCTTGGAAAGATGAATTGTCACAAAGATGGTGGATTATCCCGTTCGAATATGACAACAGCTGAAGACTTACTTGCTGCTTCACTGCATACACCTTCACATCATGACTCTACTATACCACCGCAACAACCTACTGGTCTAACTAGACCATCAAACAATAATAAAATTGTTAATTCAAATCAACATAGTATCAATAACATGATTAATGCTACGTTGGCCACTTTAGCCAGTTCAACATATCGTGTACAGCCAAAAGAATATGGAATATAACAAAGTATTATTTAATAGTTGGGAGACAGTAAAGAACTTGAAATTTTCTCTGTTCTTTTTAATAGAAATAATTTTTCTTGTAACATTTTTTCTGACTTTATTCTGTGGAATCATTTATGCATTCGTTCGCTGAAATGTGTAAGCAAACAAATAATCGCATTATCTTATCTAATCAATGTCTCTTCATATTTGAAATTTATAACTGTTACTATAATATCTATAAAAAGTCCTAAGGACTAACATAAACATTCCAACCATCTGTTCATCCAACCAACTATCTTTCCTTCTTTTCTTTGCTTCATGATGTAAACGGTATTTATATTCTTTTTTACAAAAATTAATTTTTGGCTGTTGTATTTTGAAACTTTTATTTAAAAGTTGCCTTTTTTTCTTGCATAAACTATTCCTATCACTGCTGTATGAACACTTTTTCCAGACGTTATGAATCTAATCTATCCAAATTCTCTTTCAAAAATATGGGAGAGAAATCCGTTTTACCTAAATCAATGTTTTTAATTATTTTTCATTAGCCTTGAGGAATTTACTCGACTGTTGAATTCTATATGACACTAGTTTTATCATATTATGTATGGTTGCAGTTGTTTTCAAAATAAACAGACAAAAAAATCCACTAGTATTCAACGTTCTTGACTAATTTATTTCAATGATAAAAATTCTTATTTGTGTTTTAATGATCTGAATTGGAACAATTCATATCTGTAATTAATAAATAAACTTAGTTTATCTATTGTCATGATTGTTCAATGAGGAAAGGATTCTATGTATCATCATAAAATTCCCTTTAAATTTTGTATATAAAATAGTAAAGCATGTTTTTTTTAAAATATAAATTTAACTTATCTGTCCATATATTTTATGTATTATCTTCAGTGAATGACAATTGTGTGTTTAAGTCACTTGTCTGAATTATCATTTTTTCTTCCTACTACCTTTTATCCTGTCATATTTGCTTTGCTTTTTTGAAACTTTACTACTTTTTTTAAATTAGAATGTTTATTTTACTACTTCCTCTTTGTCTAATCTTCATTTCATCTTACAACATTGTTTTGTGGTGATTTTGATAATTTAAGCGTTTGTTTGTTTTCTCTCTTTTTTTATGTATTTGACTTTGTGTTCAATATTTTCAGTGTAGAAAATACACGTGATTAGATTCAAAGTAACTATGGTTAATCAATCAATGATTATTGTTCACTCCATCATCTTCGTTTATTCCTAACTTTCACTACTCTTTCTTTCGTTATTCACTATGTATTTTCTTTTCTTCCTAATAATATATATCGTAGGGAGTGCGTTCTCTATACGTGTGACTGCTGATTGACAAGTGTATTTCTGAGTGACGATAGTTTCTTTCTTTCTTTTTACTTTTTACTTTTCTGCATAAGATAGGCAATTTTATCTTAATATTTGTGTAATGAATCTCTTCGGTTATCGTTGTTTATTTTGCTTGTATTCACATTGTTTTTCGAATTACATTATTTGTCTTTTTCGTTTCCTGCATTTTATTCATTAGTCTTGAATTTATGATTAGTGATAAACGATATCGTAAGGTAGGAAAACATGTCATATGGTTCTCTACGTAATTATGATATTCATGAAATTAACATAAACCACTTAAAAGGTGTGGATGCTATGGTTTCTGCTTTAAACTACACTGTTTATGTAAAAACCTATTACATTACCGAGCTATCCAAATCGAAATAAATAGAGCTGTGTTAGGATCTACTATCTGCTGGTCATAGGCTGAGCACTTTAATCACTAGGGTAATGATCCATACACAAACTTAATATTCTGTTCAGTGTTATTTAAATATGCGTTAGAATTAGTGTAGACCGCAGCCTTTTCCCCCTCAAATGCACCAACTAAACTACTACAAAAAAACCAGGTTGATCCTACGTAGGAGTACGTAATTCAGAATGTTCATGAAAGTCATCAGAACAAAGAGAACATTTGATATTGCTTCAGATCGCCACCTGGTGGCGAGCAATTTAAAACTAAAGCTAAAAAAGCATTAAACAGGCTGCGCTACGCAGGTTCAATGCAGCCTTTCTTTGGGATGCAAACAAACTCAAGACATTGCTCAGCAATAAGTTCTGGACGCTACATGATCAACTATGTGAATATAAAAACATCATAGAGAGCAACTGGGAAGGGATCAAGAAATCAATAACTTCGACATCCCAGAAAGTACTGGACCCCACAAAGCACCAGGATGAATAGTGAATCTCTGTAGGTAGTCTGGCCAAGACTAAATAATTAACATGAAATAGAAATTAACAACAGCCGAACAAGAGTAGAGAAAGCCAAGGCATTGACTGAATATACAGGATAAAACAATAGAGTGAAGAAGAACATCAGAGGCGACAAGCAGAAATACGTGGAAGACCTTGCAATGAAAGCGGAAAAAGCTGCATGTGTGGAAAATATGAGACAATTATATGATATAACGAAGGAATTAACAGTAAAATATAGCTTTTTAGGAACCTGTATCGACTTAAAAACACATATCCCTTGTATCACTTTTATGATTATTGCATATAATTAACTAACTAACTGATGAGTGAAGATATAAATAATTTTCGTAAATGTGTCACAACTAACAAGGTTTGTGTCTCAAAACAGCCAGAAACTAAATCCACTTAAGTGACCCAGATGCAAATATACAGAAAAGAAAGAGAATACTAGAAAAGAATTTTAAAAAATTGTAATTACTTTGACTTATAAAAAAGCACGACCTTATTAAAATTTGGAGGGATATGCCAAACTGGAATACGATCAGTTTGTTGTTAGTCAAGAAGACGTGACCACCTAATGAATGAAAAACTTTTCCAAGAGCCTTTTGAGTGATCTAGAACTATCCATTATATATCATCTCTCATTTCTTGCCTCCGGTAGATGCTAATATTGGCTTAGAACTCCCACCTAATCTAAATCGGTATTAACAGGTCTGAGACAACCAAAAGCTCTAGTAGTCTTTGAAGAAATATGAGAAGGGCTATTTAATCGGATCGACAGACTTATCTAAATGATTGTCAGGAATACCTACGATCAGAACTTACTATTGATCACACCAACGATTTTTACAGAGAAAAAATAATCTAACTAACATGATTTTTAAAATTCTTTGATATACAACCATTTGTTGCATAGTTGGAATTAAGTAACAGAAAAGTTAGGGAAAACCGCCATGATTAAGGTTATACAAACCAACCAGCCTTATAGATTTTTCTCTTACTACTCGTGCAAACCCAATTCATTGATAATATTGCAAGTAGCTGAACAACCGAACATTGGTGGTCTTACTGTTTGTAGAGGAATAAGTAATTTTTCACAAGACTATTCATCTTCTGTGTTTATTATCCCAACTTAAGTTTCTAAAAACGATAATCTCTTAGTCGTTTATCATAAAATATTCTCCTTAACTTAAAATAAACTGGTCGTTACAATTATAATTCACACTGTAAAACTTGAAGGAAAGTATTCAATTTTTAAAAAGGTTTTCTAAAACGGAGAATACGACATCAGTTTGTATCAAGGTTTGGATTAATACTATCAAAATAAAGTTTTCGGTTACAGATGTTATTTAAATTGTCTTAAGATTTGCATCAGCCCTGATGAGATAGTGATAGCAAGGTATCAGCACAGACGCAATAGTTTTGACTGATTTCTAAATCTACTTCATCTGTAGTGGTAACAAGATAAATACGTCTATTAAATGAGTACTTTGTACAGAAATAAGCTCTTTCTAATCTATAATAGTGCTAATTTTTCATGAAAAATGGAAGTCATGAAGGTTATAAATCATCATGGATGATCTTCAAGTATCATGCGTACCGTTGAAGTAACTAAAAATATAGACGACAGTGTAAAGAGCGAAAACTTGGGCTTGCGTGAATCAATGTACCTTGTGAACTTACATTACATTTGTAAATAGTAAAACAATAAATTGAATACACTGGTTTCAACATCATTGAATTTTCAAAAACAGACTCTATCGTTCTATTTCTTTTGTTATTTCGACTACTCTCTGGGTTGCTTTCTACTGCAATTCTTGCTAGGTGCTACATATATCTGTCCGTATAAGTAGTACACATCACAAGAGAAGTGAGATTTTAGGTATTTAAACTCATAATTAAAATAAATATAATAAGAATCGATCTAGAAATAAGAAAGTGTAAGGTCACATCTATTCACTAAGAGACATTATTAACGATTGAATCGTATTCCTCACATAAATCTAAAGTTTCTCAGTCTTATTCGATGATATTTACTTTTTTGTGAAGATTAGTTCAACTTTTTCATGATAAGTTGACCTTAATTAATCCTTCATCTTGTACGATTTATAGTAATAATAACTTAATTATTAATCAATTACTCAATGATTTGCTTAGCATTTAAAATTTCAGTTTTAAAGATTTAATTATGCCCCTATAACTATTCTTTGAATGTGTACTTGTACTTGAAACGCTTAGAATGACATTAAAGTAGGATTTAATAGAAAAAGTAATAAGATAATTTTATTTGGTTAGATATTTTCTGGCAATGAACTTCATTTTAAGGTGCTTTTCATTATTAATCGATATCAGATAGACAGTACCTTGTTTTAACGATAAAACCAAGAACCTGTGGAGTTAATTAAACCATAAGTGAGACAATCACTCAGCACTGAATAGTTATTGTGATATGTTGTGGATTGATTAAAGTTGGAAATTTAGACAGCTGAACTGTGAATTAGTGATCCAAATGTCCGATGCTCACTTTAGGACTTGAAGATTCTGGACTCTAAATACCTTACAGGACACGAGTATTCAGTATTGATGATCCAAAATCTAACATAAAATAATTATTTAGTGCAGCTTACTTCCTGATGGTTTTCGATCTGATGCCAGTTTGTAATGAAAGTCATCTTTAAACTAAACAAATTTGTTCACCTTCTTCAAAGAAATTCCATTTTTCTCAGGAAAATAATAACTTTTAATTCTTGTGAAACATATTATCATGTGTAATTCTCCGGTGGTTTGCACCACTTCGAAATATCTTTGTCTTTGTTATTTAATTGATTATATGATAATATTTTCAAATAAATAACCTTTCAAATGTTTTAGATGTTTATGGACGAAATTTGTAGCCGAGTAAATAAGAGCTCTTACTACTTTGGTCCCTGCCTAGTCACGAAATACCTACAAAGTGACCTCTAGTTTGTGTTGAATTTATATGATTACAAAAATCCATTGTTTTTATCATATGGAATTAGCTTGTCAAATTTAACCCAAAGTATTTTTCTAAACTACTATTCGTTACATAAGGATTCGATACTCCATTTACTTGAATAATTTGATCTTTTTTTTGGCCATGAATTTGGAGATGATTTCTTTAATCACAACTGATACTTAATGTCAGATAAGTGAGTTAGTCTAGTTTATTCTATAATACATAAGAAAACGAGTTTTGTATTTAAAGTAAGCTCTCAGTATGAACTGATATAATTTGGCGAACCATTTTTGCCTACAAAGAGCCAAGTGTCTAGTTCATTAAGATTAGGACCTTTCAAATATCTACCCATGGCTTCACTCAGAAGAATTCCCATTCGCTTCTACGTAGAATACAGAAGTCTTATCAACAAAAAAGAAATTTATGGATTACAGTGGTTTTCTAACTGATCCTAATCCATGATATGGTATTTTCAAATCAAAGAAATCTCCATAAACAACTTTTCTGAATAATACATGTTTTTTCCATCATGATCCCTCGCGAATACCTAGAAAAAGTTTAAAGATCATTTCCTCCAGTCAGCATCCAATGGTATATATATATATATATATATATATATATATATATATATATATATAATTCTTACATAGTACTATAATAGTAATTTGCTTCTGAGTCATATCCACTCATGAGATTTGAATTGCCAATATATTTTATTCAGGTGATGAAAATCTCATCACTGAAAAATAGTTGACAATTAACAAACTTGTCACGTGACTTTCTATTCAAAAAATGGAAGGAAGCAACAGATTCACTAAAACTAGTGACGCCATCAACACAATCAACATTTTTTTACCGATAATCAGTTGCACATTAGAGATAAAACAATAATCACTAGATATTCAGTTAGATTCCTGATTATTATTATTATTATTATTATGTCATTGTTTTGGAATTCTTCAAAGTTTAAAAGACATCGGATGTATAACATGGTTCGAATTTATAAACACTCAAATCAATATATATATATATATATATATATATATATATATATATATATATATATATATATATATATAATCTAACGTCGCCAGATAAAATTGGTTAGTTAGACAATATGAATCGTGAACTTTTTATATGGACTTGATAAGCAGTTAGAAAACTATTTTTATACTGTGTGTTAGTTTAGTGTTATTCAGTTTAGTGAGATTAAACGATTGATCTGATTTTTTGAGTGTTCATTCAGTAAAATATTTTTTCGGATTATTTCGATTGATCGAC